GAAACCATGCTCTTCTCTTCCCTCACTTGCAGCCTCCAGGGTGATTGGCATCCAATGTGCCCTGGTGCAGGAAACACACATCACGTGCCTGTGTGCTTGCTCTGCCTCTGCCCTCTGGTACCATTGTGCCCCAGCTGGTAACCTCCAATGGGGTGTGGGTGATGCTGATGGATGAAAGCCAGACCTGTCCTGCAGCCTGCCCCTGCAGCTCATCCCCTTGGCACAGCACACGTGTCCCAAGCAGTCCCAGCACAGCGAGCGCGGCACCGCAGGGCTGCGATCCAGTCCGTAGAGCTGCACAAAACAAACCGGCTGTGACACCACGGCAGAGCGTTCAAGCCTCTCCGGCTTGACACCACATCGTTATATATTGATGCCATGACACCAGCACTCGAAATAGAATCAGGACAATTTGATTTCCTGCAGATCTCAGGATGGGGTCATAAAAACGGAGACTGTTCTGGAGAAATGGGATAGGGTGGAAATGTTTGTAGTGACATCACAGCCACTTGCATGCCAATGGCCTCCTACTGCTGCAAACATGTGATTGTGATTTTGCTGCACGCTCCATCAGAAAAGTGCCAGACTGGCCAGGGAAGGAGAGAGACGGAGGGAGGAGAAGAGAAGGAAATATTCTGTTCTTGTATCTATATTCAAATATCTGACAATAGCCTTGCGTCCCAGGGTACTGAGTGATCAGGAGTGGGACCATGGAGCAGAGACTGTTGCCGGATCAACAGAGCTAAGGAGACTGCAGCAACCTAACTGGGGGCTGATTAAGAACCTTTGGTTTTATGGTGGAGGGTCTTGGTCTGCATTGCTGTGCTTTATTGAAGAGCTGGGTGGTCTGGTTGTGCTCACTCTTCCTCACTTGTTGCATTGATTTCTAACATCCCTTTTCTTGGCAAGAAAAACCTACAGGCCTGAAATATGGCTACAAAAGCAACTGTAGAGCTGTTGTCTTTTAGGGGTTCCCATCATAGATTGGAAGAGATCTCAGAGTTGGAGCTTCACCCATGAAGCAAGAAGCAACAGGGAGGGATATAAGTAGCTGGGAATAGAGGAGAAAAGAATGGAGGAAAGAGAGGAAAGAAGCATAAGTCAAGACAAGAAATAAAACTAGTTTGTGTCTGAGGACATCGTAGCAGGAAATCTCATGTTGGTTGCTCCACAAATGGCACTGCTGGCTGCAAAGCCCATCTTGGTATCAAGGTCCTTCACAAGAAATAGCCAGTGGAGATCAGTCCTGCTGTGTCCAGCACATATAATCTTGGGGGGCTGCGGAGGTGAGCAGTATCTGCGGGGGGGAAGGGCAAGCAAAGGGATCCAGCTAATGTACCCGTCTATCAGATTAGGCTGTCAAAAACCAAACCACTTCCATCATTGTCCAAGGAGAGACTCTCACTCCCTGCTTAATGGGATGTCGATCCTGTTGTTGTCACTCCAGGGAGAGAGGCTGCTGCCACCACAGTGTGCAGCAGGCTGCGAGTTGAAAATCCTATTAGACAGGGACTAACATTTGCAAAAAGAAAGCAGGTATCCCCTAGTGGGGATTTAAAGATGTTTAGACATAATTTGATTTTCCAAGCAGATGTCATTATTGTTAAACAGTTGCCCACTTGATATGTTCAAGTTGTTGGCTGTAATTGCTAAAATTAGCAGGTCTGCATAGAGCAAAGGTCAGTCGGTTAATATCGTGATTTAGTATTTTATGAAGTAATTCCAAATGCTTTTATGTATGTTTTTGTTTTTGCAGCCTAAGCCCACATTAAAGCAGTTGTGGGCCCTGCTAATAAAATAATGACTCAGCCTGTCGGCGCAGGCTGCTGGCCGGGCTCTGTGGTGGTGCTCGAGCCACCTCCACTCCTTGCTTTGCCTGGTGCCACAGGCCAGTCAGGGCCATGCTCTTGGGTTTGGAGCTGCAGTCAAACAGGAGGCTTCCAACTCCCCCCCCAATGTGATATCTTCAAGCAGAGCTGGTGTTGGAAATGAGCCCATCAATTCCAGTGATGACTGGAAGGATGAAGGGCTGGTTTCCATCAGCAGCTGAGCACAAGGGTCTGCTGCTGGTACCTGTGGTGCTCATAGGTGGATTGACTGCATGCACAAGTGCATGCAAGTGCCTTCAGCCATGAACACACCTGAAACACACACCACTGACCAGGCAAGGTCCCAAAATACAGTTTTTAAGGAAAGATGCATTTTCGGAAGAGGAAAAGAGAGCTGGAACTGGGAAAGGGAAAGGCTCCTGATTTGTGCTGTGGCTGGTCAGACATCTGGTGCTGCCTCCTCCAGTATAGCAGCTACTAAATGGCATGAGAAACAGCTTTAAACTCCTTGAAGGTGTTGGTGTTTCACTGGCAGGCTCAGTGTTGGTCTGATCCCATGTTCTGGGACAGAAAAGGGTTCTCTTTCAAGGCCAGGTTTGCTGGGGTTCACTTACCTTTCCCTGTAACAGAGACACAACCTGTTCCCAAGGGTTGTTTGGG